CAACATTAGGCTCATGGAAGAGAACATAATTCCACAATTTGGAAATTTCGTCCGCCCCTCCCTCTTTCTCTCTCTTCCAAGGAGTTCTTCTATTTCTTGTGTTCCACTGATACAAGATCTAGAAAGCTGTTTGAGAATACAGTAGAAGATCTTAAGGTATAAAGAGATTCCAATCATACATCCAAACCGGAGACCAAAACCAGCAAGTGACCATACCACGACGACCAGGACGACGAGACGAAGAGATCACCGTCGAGATCTCCGCCGAAAGCCACCGCACGCGCTCGCACGTGCCACGAGAAGGTAGCAGCTGCTGGGACTTGCACCGGCGTGTGAGAGAGCGTGAGTGGTCCGATTTCTGATCGGTCAACGCCGTTGACTTCGCCGTGACGTCAGCTTTCTGGATTGATCAAGTTTGTTCGATTCCGAGAAGATTTGATTTGCGGTCAACTGTCCGGATCAGCCAGATCTACATAAATTTTAAGCAGTAAGTTTTCTTCATCAAACCTTTAGATCCGCTGCGCATAGGTTTATGTTGAATGTTTGTCCGTGATTTGTGCATATCGAGATCCTCGTGGGTTCCAACATGTTCAACGCCCGATAGTCCACACACATCCGCATCGATCCATCTTGCTTCCTCTGGAACAATACTAGAGAACCGTAAGGTGCCTTTGAAGGCTGAATCAATCCCGCACTCAGTAGTTCATCCAACTGCTTCCTCAATTCGGCCAGCTCGGCTGGTGGCATCCGATAAGGAGGTTGGGCAGGAGGCTGAGCGCCCGGTTCCAGTTTAATCCGATGGTCACAAGGTCTACGCGGAGGCAACTCCTTAGGCAACTCAGGGGGCATCGTATCCTTGAATTCATCAAGCACTTTACCGACAGCATCCGGTACTTCATAAAATACGTCTGGTTTGGTCTCAGTCAAAGCCACAAGGTACGTTGTGTGACCATGCCTTAGTCCATTGCGAACTTGCAAGGCCGACACCATGCTCGTATCTTTCTTTGGGACAGCAAACTTGACAGCGAGAGCCTGCTCTCTCCCATCATCAACCACGAACAGCTTCCCTTCGTGGGGTTTTGGGTAGACTTTTGCCTTCCTCATGAAATCCAATCCGAGAATCATCGCAAAATCATCAAGAGGGACGATGTGCAACACACACAATCCTTTCCAAGGCCCAACTTGCATTTCAACTTGTGCCACTCCCTTGATCGGTTCACCTTGAGCATTCACCGTTTTCATCTTTCCCTCGTGAGGCTCAACAGTAAGGCACAGCTTCCGAGCATACTCCTCATTCACAAAGATGTGGGTAGCACCGCAATCCACCAAGGCCATAATATCTTTGTTCCCTATGGCCACCTTAGTGTACATCAAGCCATCACATGTAACAGGGACTTTTTGAACTTGGTTCAACAGCAGCATACAGTTAAGGCCCATGGTACCTTCCTCAGCATCCTTGGAAGTGCCTTGCACCACCACAACATTCGCTTTGGCATTTGCACGTTTAGGACAATCCCGCATGCGGTGGTCACCATCACACAAGAAGCACCCGCGGTTTGAGCGGTCCACAACCAAGGCTTGGTTCTTAGACTCTCAGGACTTATTCTCCTTCTTTTCCCCCGCCTTCTTCTTGTTTCTGCCACCATCTTTATGCTTTTTGAATTTCCCACTTTTCTCCTTAGTCGAGTCCTTTTTCTTATGGCCCGACTCAGGTCCGCCAACGACTTTAAAATCGAAAAGTCGTTCTGCCGCAGTAATAGTCGATGGAAGGTCGCTCACACTTTGCCTTCTCAACTCCGCTTGGGCCCAGCCTTGAAGACCGGCCATGAAGTTGAACAGTTTATCCTTCTCTGACATTTCAGAGATATCCAGCATGACAGAAGTGAATTCCGTCACATAATCACGTACAACACCCGTATGCCGTAAGTTACGCAGCGTGTTACGGGCAATCCAATCCGTGTTCCCCGGGAGAAACTGATCTTTCAATAGACCTTTCATTGTGTCCCACGTAGTGATCTCCTCGCGATTTGCACTGGCATCATCAGATACCCGCGCCCGCCACCAAAGTTTCGCATCCCCGGCCAAGAACATGCTCGCTATTGAAACTTTCTGACCATCTGGGACTCCTGCAGCCTGGAAATACACTTCCATATCCCAAAGGAAATTCTCAACTTCTTTTGCATCATGAGAACCGTCAAAGGCTTTAGGATCAGGAACTCAGACTTTTGGTGGACCTTGCCGTTGTTCGTTGAGAACATTCGCACCAACACGTTTCAGCAACGATATATCATCTTGAACCTTCTCGATCTTATCACGCACCGCATCAGACAGCAAATTTACTTCATCATTAACAGAATCAATCCTTCCTTCGACAAACTCGGGTAAAGAGTCTACCGAATTATTCAGAGCTTCCACCGTCACCCGCAATCCCTCGAGAATATCGTTTGTTGTTTGTAATTTCTCAAAGACAGTTGCTTGCAACGGTGTCAGAGGCGGTGGTCCCAGCAGGTCCTCCAATCTTTGTATCCGTGCCCCATAGGACAATAACATTTGTTCTTCCCGTCGATTATGATCACCCATTTTTTTCTCGACTTGTAGCCTTCAGAACCCAGAAAATAGGCTCTGATACCACCTGTCACAGGGCCTAACTAAGAGGCTTAATTTTTCGCACCCTTAGAACCCTATGCGGCATGGTTTTCACCCCAACCAGTCAGCCTTTTTCCTTCACACTAAACGCACAACTTGATTATTCAAAGTCGGAATAGTGTTTTAAGCAATACACCCACAAGCAATGCACACACACAAAGCATCAAGTAAATAACAAGGAAACAATGTTTACGGGCTCCACGCCCAACCAACAATTTCACTATCGCTGGAAAATTCGCCAAGGCATGCACACAAACTCGCGGTATCGCTCATACGCGCGACTGTGCAGCTCAAGGCCTTTATATAGGCCCGCAGGCAAGTTGCGGTTGACATCCCCAACCGCTAGGACAGAAACCGTCTGGCAGTTTTATAACTGCCCACGTTCTAAGCCAACATCGCATAACCGTCCACACAACGGTCCAAAGCGCGGAGTATCAAAACAAGCACACCACGTGTCCAATGTAACCGTCTTGTAACCGTCTTGTACACGCGTCGCCCATCTGATTCATTCTGCCATGCACACTTGAAGATTTCCTGCCTAGGCCACGTAGAACCAGATAACAGCATCCACGTGCAACCAACATGCATTCGAAACCTTAACCGTTCCCGCCAACAGTTTGAGCGTCGCGCCAACACTCGCGCGCCCAACAAGCCACATCGACAGCCCGCATAGCTAAGAGTTAATCCTGCCCAACATAGTGCAAAGGCGCCTACCGCCTTGCTACCTTGCCCGCGTGTCTTTGCTTGGCCATGCACAACCCGCAAAGACTTGACTGATCCCATGCTCAGTCTACATTGACTCGGCCCTGCAACCCAGCATCCTCGCTAAGCTAGCCCGAAGCCTTTACCATGTCAATGTACTTGTTCCCTTATCCGACACCGTGCACAAGTGCCCGGTTTCTCGACCCTTGGCGCATATAAGGGACTGCGCCTGGGTCCAACTCAAGCTTAAGTCCGTAACACTAACCCTGGTCAAGGACACTGGACTGCGGTAAAGCATATTCTCAAGTATCTGAAAAGAACTCGAGATTATATGCTTGTTTACCAGTCAGACGGTCTAACTCCTTTGGGTTACACAGATTCTGATTTCCAAGCTGATCGAGATAAGAGAAAGTCGACCTCGGGTTATGTGTTTATGATGGGAGGCGGAGCGATCTCATGGAGGAGTGTGAAGCAGAAATGCATCGCAGATTCTACCATGGAAGCCGAATACGTTGCTGCTTCAGAAGCAACGAAGAAGGCTATTTGGCTCAGGAGCTTCTTACTGGACTTAGGGGTATCTTCGAGTGTGCCTAAGTGTATCACAATTTATTGTGACAACGCTGGTGCAGTCGCAAACTCAAGAGAACCCCGAGCACATATGGCCAGTAAACACATCGAGAGAAAGTACCACCTTATACGAGAGATCGTAAAACGAGGAGATGTGGTTGTGACGAAGATAGCATCGTTGGATAATCTAGCTGATCCTTTCACGAAGACTCTGACTGTCAATGTCTTCGAGAAACACGTAGAGGGTCTTGGTTTACGATGTGTTGCAGCTAGACTTTGAGTATAAGTGGGAGAATTGTTATGGCATGTGTTTATATATACTAAAAGTCTAGCTTTAGTATAAGTGGGAGATTGTTGGGGTATACAGTAAAGCAAACTTTTACGTGAGCTTTTGGATTGTATTTATTCGATTTCCCATTTGACTGAAATAAATGTTTTCACATTGTTGCATTCTTTATGATTGCTTGTATGCTAAATGTCCAAGTATCTTATATTGTAGACAATGTGGTGTGTTAGTAGTCACACAGAAGATTACATTGTCGGTCCCTTATAAGATTGTTTGTAGTATTTTTGTGAGTGGATAATTTTGTAACCGAGCTATCCAGACTCGGGTCGTTCTCAAAGGAAGACTGTTCGGAGCATCGTTAACTATCTAGTCGTCGATTTCACAAGACCGAAAATAAAATCCTAAACATACTATCAAGATGATTTGAGATTGATTGCAAGAAATAAAACTAATATATTCGAACAAATACTGAAAATGCAACAAACGAAAGAACAAGCGAACGTTGGTTACACGGAGTCCACGTATCTTGACAAAAATAAAAATACCGAAAATAAAATACACAAGCCTAGTGACCCTAAGTCTTCGAATACGAGCCTTCCCTAGATCGTTCCTCTTTTAACAAAGTCGAAACCTCTAAACCGGATAAATACGTATCGAACCTTAACACACATAGACAAGCTATAAAAATAACACAAACGATACAATTCATATCACGCCAATCAATTCAAACTCGAAATAACAAGTTCTCACTGAGATCCCTATTTTTCTATCGCAAGATTGAATGAACATAATATGAATCGCACGAATATAACATAACCGAAAATAAATAACAGAAAAATTACCGGATAAATCACAAGAAAATGGCAAGCTCGTGTCTCTAATCGACGTTCAAATTACACAACAAAATACATAAAAATAAAAGAAAAGAAAAATAAAAGAAAATAAAGCTCTGAAGAACAGAAGAGAAGGAGCCGAGCTCCTTTCCCACAGTTGGGAGAATAATGAAGTGTCCTTTCCAATCCAGCAGAGCAATATTTTATACAGCGGACCAAATCTTTCAAGTGGGGCGCAAAAACCGGACCATATTATGCACTTGGCACGGCGCGAATTAAGTGCTGACGGCTCGAATTAACTGCTGACGGCGCGAATTAACTGCTGACGCTGCTGACTGCTTGAGGCAGAAACTCTTGGCGGCGAGAATTAACTGCAAATTAACTACTGACAGC